GACTACAGGCACCCGCCACCTCGCCCGGCTAGTTTTTTGTAGTTTTCAGTAGAGACTGGGTTTCACCATGTTACCAGGATGGTCTCGATCTCCTGACCTCGTGATCCGCCCGTCTCGGCCTCCCAAAGTGCTGGGATTACAGCTTGAGCCACCGCGCCCAGCCGCCTAGTTGCCTTTTTAGGTAGATCCCCTTCGCTATGAAATGGTGTCATTAGACCACCCAACCCAGCCCTGAGCCAAGACTTTGTCACCAGGTTTCCCGCACAGAGGCCTGCACAGTGGTTGTCCCCTGGGTCCCTTTCACTGTCTGGCTCTGTCACTGTGCCTGGTTATCTTCCTAAAAATAAGCCTGAGGCCCTCAGAGGAGCCGTGACCACTCAGGTCACTTAGCGAGGCAGTGCGGGGCCAGGAATCAAGCCCAGGGCTCCACCCACAGCCCCACCACCACCCAGCAGCCCCATCCCACTTTCTACCGTTTGGAGCCCAGCAGGCGTGAGGAGGGCAGAGGGGTCTCCAGGCTGGGAGAGAACCTGGGAGCTGCCGGGTGAGACATTAGCCATCCACCGAGGGGCAGCGGAATCAAGTAGGACATCGTCTTTGGGCAGCGTCTCGCTGAGTCACCGGAGAAAATGGCCACCCCCCTGCACCTTAGCGTGCCCATCAGGCTCCTGGGGGTTATGATCTGACAGCGCAGGACCATTGGGAGTAAGAAAGTGTGCACACAATAGGCACTCGTGCCCGGGATTCAGTGTGGCCACACCTGGAGACGCTGGAGAGCCCCCGGGTGGGGCACGGTTTGTGTTTACAGTTTGTTTCCCGGTCTCTTTTCCCCGGACTCCTGCCTGTCAAACCAGTGATCGTCCCTCTCCTCTATGACGGTGCCTGGACCCTTAGCGCCCGTGGGCTGGCGTCTGGGGCACAGCTTTCACCCTCCTAAGAAAGCAGGTCTGTGTTGCGGGCGGGGCGTCTGCAGTGTTGACAGTTGCTGCCTCCTGGTTTTTCTATCTTGGGCCCACACTGGGCACTCCTGGAGCTGCACCCCCTGGGCACACCCACTGTCAGGCCCTGGCAGACTCCTCAGCAGGGGCCAGGCCCTCAGAGGGCAGATCCTCTTGCTATCAGGACCGCCCCCAACACTGAAGCTGTTGAAAGACATTTTCTGAGGTCAGCAAGACCTGGCTTTGAATCTCAGCTCTGCTGCCCTCTGAACGCACCACCTTGGGCGCGGTGAACATGCTCTGAGTCTTAGGTCATGCTCCCCTGTTACATGGGGCGATGACATGCCTGCCTGATGTGCCCGCAGCCGTGAGGACTGAGGGAGAGGATGTGTGCTCAGGAGGTATCCGGAAAGGGCACAGCAGCGCCAACACGTGGTAGGGCCCTCACTCCTCCCTGAGGGCGAGTGCTAAGAGGTGTGAGGAGGCAAGAAGCTCATGGACCTTTCCTGAACACCTACTGTCCCAGGCAATGGTGTCAGCCCTGGGCTCAGGGGTTCCTGTGTCCCTGACACCTCGATGGTGTAGAAAGGACCCGGCCCTCGCTGCTCATCGAGGCCCCAAGAGTCCGGGACAGGATCCATCTCTACAGGCGTATAGGGGTTCAGGACACAAGGACACCCAAGTTCTAGTTCTTGCCACCTGCTGCCTGGCTGTGGGCTCCTGGGTATTCCTCTCCTCCACCCAGGCTACAGGTTCCCCATTCGCACAAAGGGGAAGGTGGATTCCTCTTTTAAGAGCCCTTCCAGCCCTGTTCTCTCTCTCTCTCTCTCTCTCTGTATGTGTATATGTGTGTGTGTGTGTGTATATATATATATATACATTTAGGAGGCCCAAGTGCAGTTTTGTTACATGGATATATTGAGCAGTGGTGAAGTCTTGGGCTTGACATTGGAGACCCAGTCCCATCATTTCAGTGCACACCCACCAGCTCCTTCTCGTGCTCAGAGCTGCTCCAAGGGGAGAAAGTGTCTCTCCTAGAATGAGTGGAAGGAGGTGAACTCCAGGCCTGGGCCAGACGCACCAAAATCACTCCCTCCCAGGCCTCTGTGGCGTCAGCCCTCACCTCTAAGACACCATCGGGTCACTGAGAGCATTGTTCCGCACTGGCATCAGCCAAGCATGCTGGCTTTCCTCATCCTCCCAGGAACGTGCTCACCACAGAGGGGGTCCCTCCTGCTGGGGACCCACTGGAAGCATAGCCTTCAGGGAGGGGAAGGGGAGGACAGAAGGTCCTGGGCGTTGGCCTCTGGCTGGAAATTGGGGCTGGTCTAAGTGCCCTGTTGGAACCTCCAACGCCAAGCTCAAACTGAGATGGGTTCCCTCTAAGCCCCCATACTGCGGTTGAGTTGCTTATTATTCTTTGAAGATAAGATCTGGGGAATTTCCGTGTGCTGGTGGACAGGAAGCCAGGCCCTGGACAGCTGAAAGGAATCCAGTTGCCCGCACCCTGCCTCCTTTCTCTGCTGCTTCTCTCGCTTCTCCTTCCTGCCTCCACCCTTTCATGTTCTGTCCTCCCTCATCCCTTCAGGTGGGTCACCGGAATGCAGACAATGTGGCCTCAGTGACTGTCCCCGGAGTAACCTTCTAGAACAGGGCAAATGGTCTAAAGAGTGATCGAGACTGACCACACAGGTTTCCTCTTCCCAGTCAGCATCTGGCCCAAGACCAAGGCCATGGCCACTGGCTTGTGGACGGAGACTTTCAAAGGTCCAGCCCCGCCCTGGCCTCCACCTCTTAGAATAGTCGACAGTTGGGCCACATCCTCCAAGCTCCCAGAGGATAATGTTGTCCTTCTTCCCTGTGGAGCAAGCTAGAATTTCCACTCTGCACCACCAGGTCTTGACCTAGTAATTTTCACTCTCTTCTGTCCTTTTTAGCACAAAAGTTTTGGTTTTCTTCCCCAGATCACGTCATCTGATGAGAGGTTGGAGCAGATCCACTCAGGAAATGAAAGGCCAAAGGGGTGGGTAGGCTAGGGCAGCATTTTCCAAAGCGGGGGACGTGGACCACCAGTGTTCACGGTCAAAGCCTGAACCTGGAATCCCACAGTGGGAAAGTGACTGTCTCCTCCGGTCTTAATCCGTCCTTCAGGTGACCTCCTGGGGAAAGTCTCCGAGGGTGCTAATTTGCCTCTGGCCTCCCAAGTCTTGTCAGTCTCCCTCTTTAGCAGTAGACTCAGGCCTGAAACTCAGAGTCCACAGCACATCGCTGTATCGGGCCAGAAGTGAATATGTGTTACTTTGTTTGTATTTTCTCTCTTTTTTTTTTTACCCCTTGAGACAGGGTCTTACTCTGTTGCCCAGGCTGGAGTGCAGTGATGCAATCACGACCCACTGCAGCCTCGACCTCCCAGGCCCAAGCCATCCTCCCACCTCAGCCTCCCAAGTAGCTGGAACTGCAGGCTTACCCCACCATGCCTGGCTAATTTTTGTACTTTTTGTAGAGACGGGGTCTCACTATGTTGCCCAGGCTGGTCTCAAACTCCTGGGCTCAAGCAATCCTCCTGCCTCAGCCTCCCAAAGTGCTGGGATTACAGGCACGAGCCACTACACCCAACTACTTGTATTTATTTACTGCTCCTCCCTGCCTCCTACAAACAGACCCCAGTCTGTTTCCTTAAAAGCTAAGCTACATGAATCCTTAAAATGCTACACTACTAAGGCCCTCCAGCCTCAGTGTTCTTTTCAGAAACATGGGGCTGAGAACCACACTTCAGTGGGTGGGTTTGTTCCTGCCAGCTTCTTTCTCAACCCCACATCACTGTGCAGCTTTTGCTCTGTGATGACCTTTGGTCTTACCTCTGCCCAGCAGATGATAAGATCTAGGGAACAGAGATGAAACAGAGGGGAAACAGAGAGGGGAGGTCATCTCCCCAGGCTCACACAGCCAGTGAGTGGCCAGACCAGGCCAGAGGCAAGTCTCCCAGTCTGAGCAGTTACTGGCAGAGGTGATTCTTCATCTGTGCAGTGGGTACAGCATCACGAGCCTCATGGAGGGAAATGACCTTATGTCCATGAGAGGCATTCTTCAGTGAGTGTGGACCATGTTGTTGGACTCTAAGATCTGGATTATTCGTCCAGATGCCTGCACATTACATATCAGCTGTGTGACCCAGGACAATGTTATTTCACCTGCCGGAGCCTCAGTTTTCTCATCTGTAAGTTGGGTGGTAATACAAGTACAAGCCCTTTAGGGTTGTTATGAAGGTGAAGTAGGAGCTCGCCATGGGAAGTGCAGTGCCTGATGCAGCAGCAGATGTCGACTCTGATCCTCCCCAGGATGAAGGGCCCCGTGGCTCACACACCCTGAGTCTGGAGCGCACCAGGCTCTTCCGGGACACTCGCTCAGCGAATCCTCCCACAGCCTTAGGAGTGCCTGTGCCATGCAGATCCAAACATCAAGGACCTGGGAGGTGGAGTGGCTCACGTGGGGTCACCCATTAGAGGAGGCAAAGGCAGGATTAGAACCCAGGCCCGTGGGAGTTCAAGTGTGTCCTCTACCCGCTGTTCTGCATCCACTCTCCAGCTCCTCCCTGGGAACCCTGGAGCCACAGCGGGGAGTTCTGGGATCCGCCCAGCCATTCCCCCGCTGTGTGACCCCAAGCGCATTCCTTCCCCTCTCTGTGCCTCTTGGAGTTGCAAGAGGAGAGTTGGGAGGGGTGATTCTGCATCATGGGCACCCTCCTTTCTCCCCTTCTGCAGAGAAGAGCATTCCTCTTTGCATCCTCTATGAGAAGTACCGTGACTGCCTCACAGAGTCCAACCTCATCAAGGTGCGGGCCCTGCTCGTGGAGCCAGTTATCAACAGCTACCTGCTGGCTGAGAGGGACCTCTACCTGGAGAATCCAGAAATCAAGATTCGGGTAAGGGCAGGCTGGGCAAGGGGCAGGGTCCCAGGGCAGCTCAGCGCTGGGGAGAGGGCAGACCCCTACCCCCACCCCAGACACCTGCATCCCTGTAAGCTCCAGACCTTTGGTGCCTTAGCGATCCTCAAATCCTAGCCTCATCGAAGAAAAGCATCATGAAGCCTAGAGAACTGGGGACTCGTAGACTCCAGGAAAGAATCTGAAAATCCCAGAGTGATAGGGTCATGGAATTTGGGGATCTTAGAGTCATGAATCCTTAAAATGCTATACTACTGAGACTAGAAACCCCACGCACTGGGCACTGGTGAGGCAGGGTGGGGTGGGGGAGTGAAGGGCACAGACTAGAGTCTCACTGTCTGAGTTTCTACCAGGGCAGCCCTGGGCATGTGACTTTGCCCTTCTGTGCCTCAGTTTATTCATCTGTTATATGGGGTTAATAATAGCCCTGAGGGGTGTTGTAAGAATTAAAAGCATATCCACAGGAAACATACAGAGCCATCCTCAGCACAGGATAAGGGCTCACTGAAAGCTCACTATCCTTATCATCGCTATCATCATCATTACAGCCCTTCACTTAGAGCGCCACAGCCCAGAACCCCTAAGGGTAACAATTACACTTAAACGGTAAACAGCAGAGGGAGAGGCGGTGAGCAATGTGCCAGACGTTCTGCTGGAGGCTTGCGCATATTAGCTCAGTTAATCCTCACAAGAACCCTCCGTCAGGCATTTCTCTCCCATGAAGAATTTAAGGTGTGCAGAGTAGAGAGTAACTTCCCCAGGTCACATGAAGAAGGGACAGAGATCAGCCTGGCTCAAAAGCCTGTGATCTTTCCCCTCCAGACCCTGGGACAAGGGAGGCACTTTGGGCACCCCCTGGGTCACGTGGAGCCTCACTGCAGCTCCATGCAGGAGAACCTGGGCAGGTAGCACGGTCAGTGCTTTCCCAATGAAGAAACTGAGGCTCAGAGGTGGAGGGGGGTGATCGTGGCAGACCAGGGTACAGCTTTGTTCAGCAAATATTGGGCCAGATTACAGTGAATATAGACGGCCCAGCTTGGATCCCACCTGCCCCTGACATCTGCCCCATGCCCTCTTCCAGATCCTTGGGGAGCCCAAACAGAAACGCAAGCTGGTGGCCGAAGTGTCCCTGCAGAACCCGCTCCCTGTGGCCCTGGAAGGCTGCACCTTCACTGTGGAGGGGGCCGGGCTAACCGAGGAGCAGAAGACAGTGGAGATGTAAGTGCTGGCTGCTCTAGCTTTGGGGCCTGGGGGAAGCGGGCAGATGCCAGTGGGGGTAGAGACTGTCCTTAGGCACCAAGCCCTGGCAGAAACCCCCTCCTCTCATCTCCCACACACACCGGTACCCACTCCCAGACACCCTGGGGCTAGAGTTCCCACCGTCACATCCTCTCTCAATGCTGACACCACCCACGCACAGATCTGCCACAGACCTCCACAGTGACGTCATCCATCAGTAAGTGCTCACCTGCAGACACATGCACCCTCACATAGACAGGTGTCTGCCCTCCGAATGTCCACACATGTGCATGCATGGGCGTCTCCTCATAGATACCTAGCTACACACATACATACGAGCACATACTTCTTATTTTTTACTTTTTTACTGTAATGTAACCTATACACAGTAAAAAGCACAGATCACCTATGTACAGCTCAATACCTTTTCACACACATGGCTACCTGAGCATATACCCACTTGTGCCCCCAAATGTACCATCCGCTTTTATGCACACGGACACACGTGTGCACACACACTGTTCACTCTAGGAGGGCACACTGTCCAGGCCCCGCAGAGGGCTGAGAATGAGGCCCGCCGATGATTGTCGGCATTAGCTCGAATTCGTGGAGATGCTGTGCTGATTCTTGGAAGTCACGTGACTTCCTGGCTGGACCGCAGTATGGGGGAGCCAGGCCTTGGGCCCCTTTCCTTACCGTCCCCTCTCTCGCTGCAGCCCAGACCCCGTGGAGGCAGGGGAGGAAGTTAAGGTGAGAATGGACCTGCTGCCGCTCCACATGGGCCTCCACAAGCTGGTGGTGAACTTCGAGAGCGACAAGCTGAAGGCTGTCAAGGGCTTCCGGAATGTCATCATTGGCCCCGCCTAAGGGACCCCTGCTCCCAGCCTGCTGAGGGCCGCCACCTTGATCCCAATCCTTATCCCAAGCTAGTGAGCAAAATATGCCCCTTCTTGGGCCCCACACCCCAGGGCAGGGTGGGCAGCTTAGGGGGTCTTGTGGAAATGGAATGTGCCCCTGGCCCATCTCAGCCCCCTGAGCTTGTGGGTCCCCACTCACCCCCTTAGCTGTGAGGAATGCTCTGTGCCAGAAACAGTGGGAGCCCTGACCTTGGCTGACTGGGGCTGGGGTGGGAGAGGAAAGACCTACATTCCCTCTCCTGTCCACGTGCCCTTTGGAAAGCCATTGACCACCCGCCATATTGTTTGATCTACTCCATAGCCCCTTGGAGCGTGCAAAAAAGGGACAGCATGCCCCTTGGCTGGATCAGGGAATCCAGCTCCCCTAGACTGCATCCTGCACTCTTCCCCTGACTGCACCCAGCTCCAGGGGCCCTTGGGACAGCTAGAGCGGGGTGGGGACAGTGATAGGCCCAAGGTCCCCTCCACATCCCAGCAGCCCAAGCTTAATAGCCCTTCCCCTCAACCTCACCATTGTGAAGCACCTACTATGTGCTGGGTGCCTCCCACACTTGCTGGGGCTCACGGGGCCACCAACCCATTTAATCACCATGGGAAACTGTTATGGGCACTACTTCCAGGATGAGGAGACTGAGGCTTAGAGAAAGAGGCGGCCCCCTCCGCACCAGTGGCCTCGTGATTATTAGCCAGGCTGGGTAATGTGAAGGCCCAAGAACAGAGTCTGGGCCTCTGACTGTGAGTCCACTGCTCCACTTATGACCCCAGCCTGACCTGAGACTGTCAGAGAGGCTGTCTGGGACCTGATCAAAAAAAGATTCAGCTGAGACAAGGAGGTAGGGAGGGGAATGGGGGACTGGGGGACTGGGAGTCAGGGCCCTGGCTGGGTTCAGGTCCCACGTCTGACCAGGTGCTGCCTTCCCCTCTCTGGGCCTCGGTTTCCTTATTGGTCAGAGGAGTGATTGAACCAGCTCATCTCCAAGGGTCCTCTCCGCTCCATCTTTGCAATGCTTTTATAGGGCCCAGCCTTGTGAATAACCACAAGGTCCACTCCTTGCTCCACAAAGCCTTAAGCCATAGGCCCAGGATATTTCTGAGAGTGAAACCATGACTGTGACCACCTTCTGTCCCCAGCCCTGTCCTGGTCCCCTCCTGTGCCCAGATACCACCCTTCAGACCCCAGTTCTAGGGGAGAAGAGCCCTGGACACCCCTGCCCTACCCAGGAGCCTGCCTGCTGCAATGCCTAGACTTCCCAACAACCTTAGCTGCCAGTGCTGGTCACTAACCAACAAGGTTGGTACCCCAGATACCCCTTCTTTGCAGGGCTAAGGCCCCCAAACACAGCCCCTGCCCCTGAGGAAGCTTGGGGAGCCTATGAGTTGTCAGCTGTGATTTTATCTCCTGCTCTTTCTACATGACTGGGCCTCCCTCGGGCTGGAGGAAGGGGGGATTCTCTATTGAAGGAGATCACAGCCTCCAGGGCCCCCCCAAATCCCAGAGAAGGACTTGGAGAGAATCATGCTGCTGCATTTAGAACTTTCTGCTTTGCACAGGAAAAAGTCACACAATTAATCAACATGTATATTTTCTCTATACATAGAGCTCTATTTCTCTACGGTTTTATAAAAGCCTTGGGTTCCAAGCAGGCAGTAGATGTGCTTCTGAACCGCAAGGAGCAAACACTGAAATAAAATAGTTTATTTTTCACACTCAAACTAGGTCTGGTCTGGTCCTTTATGAGTTTGGAGGGAGAAGGGTGGGTGAGCTCGCTTACACCTGGACCCCCACTTCCTGCCTAAGAGTCTTTCCTGAGCCTCAGCCCTGTCCCTGGGTTTACATTTTACTGGCATTCAAGGTCCTACACAGTCTGGCTCCATCTCCGGCCCCTTCCACCAACAATCTCTTTGGGGGCCATAATTAACTTCCTGTATCCCCAGAACACCCCGCAGTTGTCTACCTCTTGGCTTTTGTGTGTGTAGTTCCTTGAGCCTGTAGTGCTCCTCCTCTCCTTTCCCTGTTTGGCAAACTCCTACTCATCCTATAATGCTTAACACCAAAGTCACCTCTTCTATGAAGCCTTCCTTGATTTCTGTTCAGGTCCCCAGAGTCCTGGAATATGGACCAATTCAAACATTTATCACAGTAAATTTTACTTCCACGTTGGCCTATCTGTCCCCTTCTCCATCCTATCTGAAGCCCTCGAGGCAGGGACCACATATCTCTTAAATAGACACTAATAAATGCTGAATTGGTAAATCAATGTTTTCCAACTCAGCTCCCACAAGACCTGTGCTGTCCGATAGAAATAAAACATGAGCCACAAATGCAAGCCGCATATGTAATTTAGAATTTTCTAGTGACCACTAGACCAAAAGTGACCAAAAGACTAGACTCTTTTTACTTTGAAAAGAGTAAAAAGCCATAGGTGGAATTAGCTTTAATAATGTATTTTATTTAATCCAATATATCCAAAACATTATTTCAACATGTAATCAATATAAGAATCAGTAAGGTATTTGACATTCTTATTTTTGTATTCAATCTTTGAAACATGGTGTGTGTTTCACACTGATAGCCCATCTCAATTCGAACTAGCTGCATTTCAAGTGCTCAGTAGCCAGTCTGGCTAATACTGGATGAAGCAGGTCCAGACTGCGATTCCATGGGTGTGCGGACCTGGTCATTCATTTCATTCCCCACCATCGAAGCACTTAAGCACTCATGAGTGTCTGTTGAATGAATAGATGATGGGGACAGTCCCCACCCTTGGAAAGTCATGTCGAAAGACATGACATGCACATTAAAAATAAATCAAAATAAAAACATGACATCACGTGTTCTGGGTGCCGAATCCTTCTGTTCCTTGGACGCTACAACCTGGTGCTGGATGGGTGGCTTGAGAATTGCATCAGTGAGTCACCGGCTGGAAAACAGAAACCGCACTACTATTTCAGGCAGAGAGGGAGTTCATAGAGGAAGTTCATTCCAGAAGTATCCAAAGGGGCGGAGGAGCAGATGGGAGAAGGAGTGTGACCTAGAAATTGGGAAGCAGCTGCAAAGCCCACGAGCTGGCGCCCACAGCCCTAGAACCAACATAGCTGCTGGGAAATACAGAGCCTGCGGAAGCCACCTGAGGCTGCAGCCAGAGGCAGGCTGGCATCTCCCCTCCCCAGGCCTCTTTCCCACTGGCAGGTCCTAACCTGAAACTGGCTGGCAAGCAGCTCTGGGAAATGTCATTTTTCAGCTTCCAGACCCCTGAAATACAGAGAGGGTAAGCAAGGGCAAGGATGGAGTAGTTGGGACCTATTGCCATTCCCTGTGCTAAAAACACTTTTACGATATATCCTCTCTACCTAATGAACTCTTACTCAGTCTGCAAAAACCTGCTCCAAGGAGGCCTCCCCTGTGAAGCCTTCCTGGACTGCAGCCAACTGCTTTGACCTCTAGATCTCCCCAGCCCTTTACGATACTGGATACTCAGCAGCCTTAGTTAGAAATAGCTGTTTCTGTGCCTGTCCCCTGTTCCAGAGCACCCCAAGGGCAGGGTCAGGGCACAGCCCCAACAAGGGCTGCCAACTCTGGCTCCCAGGCCTGACAGCCTCCCAGCTATAGAGCAGGGGCAGGGTTGCTCCAGCCAGGGCTGCTGACACTGGGCAGGTGCACAGGCCTCCCTGATCAGCCCCCAAGCCTGCCCCACTCCAGGCAGCCCACTAGCCAGGAACCCAGGAAGGCGAAGCATACTGACTCTTTGGGGTGCATATGTCCATTTTACAGACAGAGAAAATGAGCCTGAGGCCTTGCCCCTCAAACCCCATGTGAGGGCTGAGTCTGGGCCCCACAAGGACAGTGCTGAGCACTGCTCTTTGGCAGGTCAGGGCTGCTGATCCCCACCCAAGCTCTGCTCATAGCTTGGTGCCAGGGGCCTGGACTCTGGATCCTGTCTCTTATACACATCTAGATGTGTATAAGAGACAGATATGGACCAATTCAAACATTTATCACAGTAAATTTTACTTCCACGTTGGCCTATCTGTCCCCTTCTCCATCCTATCTGAAGCCCTCGAGGCAGGGACCACATATCTCTTAAATAGACACTAATAAATGCTGAATTGGTAAATCAATGTTTTCCAACTCAGCTCCCACAAGACCTGTGCTGTCCGATAGAAATAAAACATGAGCCACAAATGCAAGCCGCATATGTAATTTAGAATTTTCTAGTGACCACTAGACCAAAAGTGACCAAAAGACTAGACTCTTTTTACTTTGAAAAGAGTAAAAAGCCATAGGTGGAATTAGCTTTAATAATGTATTTTATTTAATCCAATATATCCAAAACATTATTTCAACATGTAATCAATATAAGAATCAGTAAGGTATTTGACATTCTTATTTTTGTATTCAATCTTTGAAACATAGTGTGTGTTTCACACTGATAGCCCATCTCAATTCGAACTAGCTGCATTTCAAGTGCTCAGTAGCCAGTCTGGCTAATACTGGATGAAGCAGGTCCAGACTGCGATTCCATGGGTGTGCGGACCTGGTCATTCATTTCATTCCCCACCATCGAAGCACTTAAGCACTCATGAGTGTCTGTTGAATGAATAGATGATGGGGACAGTCCCCACCCTTGGAAAGTCATGTCGAAAGACATGACATGCACATTAAAAATAAATCAAAATAAAAACATGACATCACGTGTTCTGGGTGCCGAATCCTTCTGTTCCTTGGACGCTACAACCTGGTGCTGGATGGGTGGCTTGAGAATTGCATCAGTGAGTCACCGGCTGGAAAACAGAAACCGCACTACTATTTCAGGCAGAGAGGGAGTTCATAGAGGAAGTTCATTCCAGAAGTATCCAAAGGGGCGGAGGAGCAGATGGGAGAAGGAGTGTGACCTAGAAATTGGGAAGCAGCTGCAAAGCCCACGAGCTGGCGCCCACAGCCCTAGAACCAACATAGCTGCTGGGAAATACAGAGCCTGCGGAAGCCACCTGAGGCTGCAGCCAGAGGCAGGCTGGCATCTCCCCTCCCCAGGCCTCTTTCCCACTGGCAGGTCCTAACCTGAAACTGGCTGGCAAGCAGCTCTGGGAAATGTCATTTTTCAGCTTCCAGACCCCTGAAATACAGAGAGGGTAAGCAAGGGCAAGGATGGAGTAGTTGGGACCTATTGCCATTCCCTGTGCTAAAAACACTTTTACGATATATCCTCTCTACCTAATGAACTCTTACTCAGTCTGCAAAAACCTGCTCCAAGGAGGCCTCCCCTGTGAAGCCTTCCTGGACTGCAGCCAACTGCTTTGACCTCTAGATCTCCCCAGCCCTTTACGATACTGGATACTCAGCAGCCTTAGTTAGAAATAGCTGTTTCTGTGCCTGTCCCCTGTTCCAGAGCACCCCAAGGGCAGGGTCAGGGCACAGCCCCAACAAGGGCTGCCAACTCTGGCTCCCAGGCCTGACAGCCTCCCAGCTATAGAGCAGGGGCAGGGTTGCTCCAGCCAGGGCTGCTGACACTGGGCAGGTGCACAGGCCTCCCTGATCAGCCCCCAAGCCTGCCCCACTCCAGGCAGCCCACTAGCCAGGAACCCAGGAAGGCGAAGCATACTGACTCTTTGGGGTGCATATGTCCATTTTACAGACAGAGAAAATGAGCCTGAGGCCTTGCCCCTCAAACCCCATGTGAGGGCTGAGTCTGGGCCCCACAAGGACAGTGCTGAGCACTGCTCTTTGGCAGGTCAGGGCTGCTGATCCCCACCCAAGCTCTGCTCATAGCTTGGTGCCAGGGGCCTGGACTCTGGATCAGAGCTGGCTCTGCCACAGATTCACAGTGTGGCTTCAGGCAGGTTGTCACCCTCTCTGTGCCTCCACTTCCTTATCTATCAAATGGGGATGACACGGTGTCTACTTCCGTGACTAATACGCAGGTTCAATAAAATAGTGCACATCAGGTACCTAGCTGTCTCTCGGCACATCATCCTCCTAACAGCCAATAGTGACTGCAGGTCAGAAATCCTTACATGCATCGAGTTATTTACTGCCTTCATTTTATAGATTAAAAAAATGAGGCATAGAGAGGTTAAGAAATGTGCCCAAAGTCACACACTTGGTAAGTTTCAGAGCTGGGACTTGATCCCAGGCAGCTTCCCTCCCCAAGGCAGGGCCTAGCCTGGAGAAGGCCCAACCTCTACCAACACCCTCCCCTCCTACCATGTTCCAGGGCTCTCAGGGGAGGCGACCCATGCAAGCTCTGACAGCCCTCAGCCCTCGTGGAAAGGGGTTCTGATTGGGTCCACCCTCCCTCCCCTAAAGACTTTCTTCTCTCCAGCTGCTTTTGTTTACCTAGGATGCCCGCCAGCTCACCCTTTGGCCTCAAGCCAAGCTCAGAACAACAGAATGTTGATGGAGTTGGGGAAAGAGGGGCAGAGGCTGGGAGGCCAAGCCAGGGCCTCCTAGAAGCACGTTTACTTGAGGCTGGCACTGGGTCAGAACATACACTCCCCCAGCCTCCCCAGCTCCCTCCCCAACAGGCCTGGGCAGAGGCACAGAGATACATCTGGGAGTCCGAGAAGACCTGTGTTCCATTTCAAAGGGGAAAGGCCAAACGGAACCATCAAAAGCAAAAGTGATGAAAAAATGATGGTGTATCCAGCCTTGAGAATGCAGGCTCTGTGATGAGGACGCAGGCTCTGCGAAGAGAACGCAGGCTCTGTGATGAGAA